GTCGAGGCTGCGGTGGCTGGGAGCGGCCACTGCACTCCAGTCTGGGCAACAGAGTGAGACTCCAACTCAAAAAAAAAAAGAAAAAAGAAATAACTGAAATATATTCATGTTATTATATATATCTATTTTTAAAAATACATATCAAGTCTACAGAGAACATGAATTAAATATTATACGTAAAGAGTGTCTGTCCCAGTAAGTAAGCAGTTCTGTAGTTAGACTCTTTGACCAAATTCTTATTTGCTATAATTATTTTCATGCCATTAATAATGAAAATATTTGATAGGTTTATTTTATCAGCCTGTTGAATCTTCATAAAATATTTATACTGCAATAGTAAATTTATTTTTCCTGCTTTTTTGAGGAGTGGTTTAATTGTTCTGACCAAAAGACTTATTTAGAAAGTTTACTAATGCATATAGGGAGAAATAGCATTTAACAGTGAAATTTTTTTGTAGTAAATCATCTCAGTTATCTTGCTGCTTTAACACATAGTGACCCATGGAATAATGTTTCGATAAATTTTTTTTGTACAAAGTGGTGATTACTTCTTCCTTCAGTATGGAAAGCTCCCCCCTTTAGTTAATTATCATGGTGGTGGTGGTGGTGATGGATTGCATGTTAGCATGAATCAAATTTTTTTAAATTGCATGTTTCCACAATTATTATATAACAATTTTTTTTGCATTGTTAAGTAAATATGAATATATTCATAATTAAGTATATTCATGATTAAGTAGCAGACTGCAGTTGTTCACATGCATTTCAGAGATATTCGTTATAGTAGCTTAGGAGAAAATAACTAGCAAATTGTGTCACTTAAATGTAAAAATTATAAGAAATGCAGAATAATTAATAACTTAATTCTGGAGAGCAGGAATAAAGAACATGATTGAGTATGTGAAATGTACAGTGTGCTAACCTTCACAAAGAGTTACTACACCTGACTCTACATAGATAGAGCACCATGTCTTGCATATAAATCTTAGGTGCCTATGGAAAGTAAGAAAGTGCATCTTCTCAAGAGGAAAGGAATTATTTCATATAAATCTTATCCCTTATAGTGCCTAGCTCAGTGCTTATTGAATGAAAGTTATTATTTTCACTTATTCATATAAGTAGATATCTAATAAAATAAAATTGGTTGACTTTTGTTTTATAGAAATCTTTTAAGCAATAATATGTTTTGCTAGTAAAGCAAATGAACACAGTATTTTATCTTCACAATACCTATGGGTTTGAAGTATTGTATGTCTTATAAGAATTATGCAATTTTAATTTTGAAAAGTTATTATGCTTATTGGGTGTGGATTCAGAGTTCTAACATTGGTATTCTGCAAAACTGGAATTATGTGATTTGTATAATGATTTTAAATTGCATTGATTTATGGTCCTTAAAAAGAGGCCACTTGCTATAGTAAATCAGAAAGTAGAGGAGTACTCAATTAAAACTCTAGGTTTTCCACTGAGAATTTTATTTTATTGCCAGAATTGGAGAAGGAGCCATGGCTGATTTATTTAGTTTTAAAACTTTTGCTTAAAAATATACCTAATCACTAAGATTTATTTCTTCACATAAAAACTTCAGTAGAAACTAAACTTTTGATTGTGCAATAGTAATTGACAATCTCCTTCACTCTGGCATTTTCTTTCTTTCTTTTTTAATAAAATAAGTTTATGGAAGTAGTTAGCCTGAAACATACCATCCAAAGGATGTCTCCATAAAAACTTTATAGAGAAATACCCACGTAGGCTAACTTAATACTCATTTTTTCAACATTCTTGTTTATTTTGATGCTTGAAATGGAATAAAATATATACAAAGAAATCATGCTTACTAAAATGTTTTGTTTCTGCAATCCGAGGCATAGACTTTGTAATATGACTTATGTTAGAGTAAAATCTTCAAGTTTTTATATTTTTCCTTCCATTGATGTGCCAGGTATTTAGTAAATAATGTAAAATTTCAAAAGAAGGCAAAAACAAGATTGTATTATTTGAGCCTCAGATGTTTCAGCTAGCCTCTTCGTCACTGTCTTGGTCAACGTGCCACGTGTTACCTGTCTGCTGTGCAAAGAACGCAATCTTCTACACTTTTCTGAAGAAGTCTCGCCATCTTGTCACCTGTTTCTAGTTTCTTTATAACTAACTGAAAAAGCTGAGAAAAGTGAAAAATATTTTCTGTTGTATGTTCTAATCAGTCCTACAGTTTTGACAATTAACTTTTTAACAATGTTTTATTTAAGAAATGTATTTAAATCTGGTGTTGGGTTGGTAAATTTGCAATTATTTATGAGCTTATTAAATATCAAAAGTGTTGTTTACCTGTCTTGGAAATTTTATTTATACAGACCAAAATCCACACCCTTATCACAGCCCAGTGCCAATGGAGTCCAGACGGAGGGGCTTGACTACGACAGACTGAAGCAGGTGGGTGCTCAGTGGCAGCTTTCTTTTATTGGTACTTTTTTCTTCTTAATAAATATTCCATATGCATGTATTGGACAGGGATTCTGAATGTACTTACAAAGAACATAGAGTTAAAATACTTTTATACAAACTAAACCGTGGCATTAACACTATATTACTTTTCTCAAATTCTCATTTCTTGTTCACTGAGTTTGCATAAAGTTCCAGCAGTGGTGGAGGATAGGGCCACAGTTCAGTGATATGGGATAGAGTTTAAAGGTTTGCAGTTAGAAAGAAAACAGTGAGCTTCTACTTCTTACTTACGACACTGGCAAAATTGGACCCAACAGATCTGATGTAAAACTAGAAACAGGTGACGAGATGGGCACTCACATATGTCTGCTTTCTAAGAAGCAGTTTGGAAAAACAGAGTCAAAGGCTTGAAAAAGAAATGTTGTACTTTTGGACTCCGCAATTTTACTTCCAGGAATTTATGCCAAGAAAATATTGTAGAAGCATGCAAATATGTAGTGGGGAGAGTAGGAGTTCTGGAGTTATCGAGGAATCATATTTAAAATACTTAGTAGTTTGGGTGCAGTGGCTCAAGCCTGTCATCCCAGCACGTGGGGAGGCCAAGGCGAGTGGGTGGCCTGAGCCTGCAGTTCGAGACCAGACCGGGCAACTTGGGAAGACCTCGTCTCTACAGTAAGCAACTCAGTCAGCCAGGCGTGGCAGCACGTGCCTGCGGTTCCGGCGACTTGGAAGATGGAGGCAGGAGGGTCGCCGGCGCCTGGCGGGGCAGGCTGGGCTGGCCTCGGGTGTGCCCCGCGCTCCAGTCTGAGTCCGTTAATCGAACCGATAGATGGCTACTTGTGAGTTAGTTAGCTACTGAATAGTGAATTGTGGACACTTGCTCATGTTAGATAAAATAGGTAAACAAAACAGATGTGTGCAGTTGTCTCAGAAGTATAAAAGATACTGTTTAGGCCGGGCTCGGTGGCTCAGCCTATAATCCCAGCACTTTGGGAGGCCGAGGTGAGTGGATGGCCTGAGCCTGCAGGTTTGAGACCCGCCTGGGCAACTTGATGAGCCCTCATCTCTACAGTAAATAAATAAATAAAATGAGCCAGGCGTGGTAGCGCGTGCCTGTAGTTCCAGCTCCTCGGAAGGCTGAGGCGGAAGGATCGCCGGAGCCCAGCAGATCGAGGCTGCAGTGGCCAGGAGCGACCACTGCACTCCAGTCTGGGTGACAGAGTGAGACTCCAACTCAAAAAAAAAAAAAAGATACTGTTTATGTTTTGGATACATATGCATATATTTAATACGTACAAAGAAAAATAGCAGGTAATAAGATTATGACTTTGAAAATATCTTATAGAAGTGAAATAAATTTTTTAGATAAACCTAGTTTTTATATTGCAAAGCTATTTGAAAAGTTAAATTGAGTTGTATAGTTTGAAAAGGAAGCATGTGATCATTGAAAATCAAGCCCTTATTTTACTGTGTATTGCATATGGCTTTCTTTTATTTTCTTCTATTTTTTTAGAGACAGAATATTGTTCTGTCACCCAGGCTGTAGTGCAGTGACATGATCATAGCTTACCATAACCTTGAATTCCTGCACTCAAGCTATCTTCCCTCCTTAGCCTCCTGTGTAGCTAGGACTTTAGAGGCACCCCACTGTACCAGCTAATTTTATTTTAATTTTTACTTTTTGTAGAGATGCTGTCACACTGTGTTGTCCAGGCTGGTCTCAAACTTCTGGCCTCAAGAGGTCCTTCACCTTGGTCTCCCAAAGTGTTGGGGATACAGGCATGAGCCACCATGCTTGACCTAGGCTTTCTTTTCTTGAAAAATGTTTTAACATAGAATACTTGCACACACTTGAAAATATGGGCAATTCTTGGTTAAATGAAGTAATGGAATAAAAGAGAGGAATAGATGTGATTTTTGGAATGATTTTAAAGATTACTTTGAATAAGGATATCTATATAGAAGTCCATATAATAACTCCATTTGCCTTAGTCACTTCCTTAGTAAAATGAAGGAATTAAACTAATTTATGGGGTTTTTTGTTTTGTTTTGTTTTGTTGAGTTTTTTTATTGCCCAGGCTGGAGTTCAGTGGTATGATCACAGCTTCTGCACCCTCAACCTCCTATACTCAGGCTATCCTTCTGCTGCAGCCTCCCAAGTAGCTGAGAATACAGGAATGCACCACCATGCCTGGCTAATTTTTTTATTTTTTGTAGAGACAAGGTCTTGCTATGTTGCCTAGGCTGGTCTCAAACTCTTGGATTCAGGCAAGCCTCCCATTCTGGTCTCCCAAAGTGCTGGGATTATAGGTGTGCGCCACTACAGCTAGCCTAGTTTTTGTTTTAAACTAGAAAACTTTTTAAAAAATGAACCTTAACAGAGCAATTTGACTTTTCCTGAGATACACAATTCAAAACCAATCCTTCCTAAGGATAGCTGTTATTTTTCACTCATCAAAGTTGTGTCTCCTTGTCATGGCCCTTTTAACCTGAATCCACAGTTCTGAAGGAGGGTTCAGAGCATCACTATTAAATAGAAATGTAATATGGGCTATATATGTATTTTACAATGTTCTGATAGCCACATTTAAAAAGTACAAAGAAAAGGGATAAATTAATTTTAATATTTTATTTAACATATTTTAAGTATTTTTAAAAATTACTAATGAGTTGTTTTACGTTATTTTCATCATACAAAAACCTTTGGAATCCGGTGTGCATTATACCTACAGCATATCTCATTTTGGATGAGCCTTATTTCAGGTGCTCAGCAGCTTCTTATTGCTGGTGTCTGCTGTACTGGACACCCACCTTCATCTCTGCCCATTTAGGGCAACCTCTTGGCCCCTTTAGGGGAGTCCCAGATTTCTTGAATTATGGTTGGTCACCTGTGGTGATTCCTAAGAAATCCCCATACTTCAAGCCAAATGACAAACTTGCCAAGAGCCAATTGTCCTACTTTCTGGAACATCTTCCTCCTTGAAACTTCTTTGCATCATCTCTCAGACTGCTACCAGAGGACTAGATTAAAATTAAAAGCAGAGCTATTATCTTTGGTAGAAACTATCTGAATCATACCCTTCACTGAATGACAGTAATTATTTTAGTTTTAGAAAAAAGAAAGCATACTATTTCATATCTTGCTAGGCTAGAACAAGCAAAGACTGGGAATGGTAATATTTTAAAATTTTACCAAGGCTAGTCTTTCCATAAATAGAATTGTGACTCTGGAAACAAAAAGTCACTCATCACATTTCATAGCACTCTTAAAATTTTATGTGTGTAGGAATCTTTTTAGCAGTATTTTTTTTCTGTATTTCTAATGTTTTTCTCTATTATTTTAGGACATTTTAGATGAAATGAGAAAAGAGTTAACAAAGCTAAAAGAAGAACTCATTGATGGTAAGTGTCTGAACAAATTTGCTACCCCTGTAATAACAGTGTTTAAGATTAGCCATTTTTAAATGCAAATGAGGAAAAAACCCTGTTTATTACTTGAGAGTGATTTGTTTCCTTTAGCATCCTGGCCTATAATTGGCTTAGGAAGTCAGGAAGGAGCTGTCTCTATATATTTGAAATTATTTGTGAAAATAGTGATTAAACCATGTCCCTAGATTTCAGGTGTTGCTGGTTCTTGGATAGAAAACTAGATGAACCAGTCTTTCTCTAGGCTACCTCTGCTCATCCATCCTACTGAACTCACATAATCAGTGTCCATTTTGTATACACAAGGGGAAAATAAACAAATATAAATAGCTAGAAATTAGTATCTTCTTTGTAATATTAAAACAAAGATCTATGCAGTAAGACACAAAATTTGAGTATCTGTGAGTTTGAACGTATTCTTAAAGTGTCTTAAGATTGAATAACTCATTTATTTTACTTTATCGTTATATTTACTTTCAGTATTTTTTCTTTTTCTATCCAGCAATCAGGCAGGAACTGAGCAAGTCAAATACTGCATAGAGAAACAAACTAAGGAGAGATAGGACTTTAATCTGGAGGAAAAAAATTCTTACAAACAACAACTGTTAACAACAGCAAGCCCCTACATTTTATGAGCTATAAGAAGAAAATGGAAACAGGAGGGAAAAACCAACGTGCTCTGAAAGCCTTCAGACATTATGACTGGTGATAAGCTATTTCCCTCTCAGTTTGCTGCTTTTTCTGACCTTTACAACAGAATGGAAGAGAATCATTTAATGTTCCTGTAACAGTTATGCAGAAAATACTAAACCCATCAGGCAAGATCACCGTGCATTGAAATATTTTCATGTCAAGATAAAATCGCACATTTTCCACAATTCATTGCAAAAATAAAGAGGAGAAAGGCTTAAGAAGTTTTTTTTTTCAGAGAGTGCTGATGAAGAATTTAGCAAGTTATGCTATTGTATTGTAAATGTTTCTCTCAGGTTTGTTCTTCCTATCATATTTGATATTCCATGAATAATTGAGATCAGCCCTATGTAGGTTACGATCATAAAATGTGGAACAAATGGAATTATAAGTGCTTTCAAAGGGTGATATTTATAAGAAAGTGTCCTAAAAATGATGTGTCCTGCTTGAGGAATTTTAGATGATAGGAAGTCTCTCGAGTTAGCCTTCATGCAATTTTGTAGATTAAACCGTAAAATTCATCCAGAATTTAAAGATTTAGATGCCTTCCTAAATTGTTACAATGCTTTACCAAATCTACGACTTCTACATAACACAAACCAGTGGTCAAATGTAAAACAGTATATTGTAGATTTACTGTAGGTTTTCAACCTTTTTTAGACTTATGCATGTGGACATTTTTATAATGTAATTACAATCACCACAAAGTTAGCTTTTTTAATTACAGACAGTAATGCATGTCACACTAATATGTAGTGGCTTTTTCAAGGCCTAGTCCCAGGGAAAACATTTTGTAGAGTCTAGGGGAAGTGGGAGGAAGGGAAGGAATAATTTTTTATTTAAAGTTAATTTCTGCACTATCTTTTTTTCAATTATCTGCATGAATAATAATGAGGAATATTTTGTGACTTAATTGGTAAATATGTTACAAAACCAAGTACTTAATCTTTTACATCATGTCTTCAGCTATTTGTATTTTAGCCAGTAATTTCAATGGTCTGAAACATGATTCTGAGCTTCACATGAATTATATCTTACTGTGGAACTCAAAAGTTTGAACACTGAATTTGGCAGTTGTTATAATCTAGGTGCCCCTGCTGTTATACAGGTGTTTAGATACATGTTCCTGACTATAAGGCTGCTTTTGAATTTTGTTATGTTGAAATATAAAAAATAACAATGATGGCAGCAATTAAGGTCACAGAAATCATTAGATAAATAAAAACTAATGAGGAGTTCTGCAGTTTTCTTTTGATAAGTTAAAGTGAGGCGTAGGTGGTGGGAAGAAGGAATTAGAAACTCTGCCTACTACCCTGTGTGTGCACACACGCGCACACGTGCTGTCTGTATGTTAATCCACTCCCTTTTCTTTCCTTTGAAATTGGTAAGATTAGGGAAGAAATCATATATGTTGCAATGATCGCTTTTTGGAAAATTTAGGAAATCAAAACTTCTCCAGGCTCTCCATCTTGATTTATGCTTGAGTTGTTATGTGCCATATTTGCTTTGAAATCTTTGATTATCAGAAGTTTCACTAAAATTTTGAAGAAATAATTCACTTTCATCTGCTTTCTAGATTCGTACATCTCAGTTCATAAGGCAAAGCTTGTTGATAGTGTAGTTTTCTAAATGCTGCATGTTTGCAGCCATTACCACTACAAAGAAGTTTGAATGAGGGACTTTTTTCCTTGTTAAAATAGTTCCTGTTTCTGTAGAAATTTCATTTTTAGATTAAACTGTGATGGATGAGCTATCATAATTCAAGTATACAGTTCTTTTTTCTATCACGTATTCATTGTCATTCAATAGTAGTAAAGACATTAAAGATTCAGCAAGCTTATGAAGTACTATTTTCTAAAAGAAATAGGAGGCATTTTCATCTTTATTATTGTACTTTTGGTTATGCAAACACTTTGACAATATAAACATTTATGTCCCCTATAAATCGGGTCAGAAATCTCTTTGATTTTGTTGGATTAGTTAAATAGTCTATAGTCAGTAGAGTACTGGGTACAAGTGGTCCAAACTAAGATAAAAGACTAAAATAAAATGCTAAATCTTAAAAGAAACTGGTTTATGCACTAAACGTTTTGTGCCTTGGTCTAATATTAACATGTCATGTCTGTGTAAAATGACAGAAAAGAACCAGTGTTGAATCATGCTATATTTTCCATCATCCCAGATTGCTAAATGTGTTCTTTCCAAGAAGTTTGATTGAGTTATTATATACATTTGCAGTCGTACATGACAGTTGTGTCATTGTTAGAGATTTCAGTAATTAAAATGGGAAACAGAAGCTTAAGTTATTTTCCTTATCAAAACTATGTTCCTTGGAACCACATTATTCTGATGGTTTTTGTGCTCTTGTACATTGGATGTCTTAAGCTGAATACAGTTTAGGGGATCCTTTCTAATTAAAGGAAGGTACTGCTTTCCTCAACACTGTGATCTGACCTGTGACAAATCTGTACCATACACTATGTAAATGGCTAACAAGTCAACTGCAAACAAACTGAATGTACAAATCTTAGTGCTGGTGCTGAAATCTCTTCAGAATAGTCATCATGATTTAAAAGTTTGTTTAAAAATTTGCAAGCATCAAGTGTCAATCAAAACTGAAGATGAAACACTAATGAATGTTGAATTCTCATGTTTTAGGTGTACTTCCTTTTTAGAATTTTCAGTTCTCTGCTATTTTTACCGTAACTATTTCATTTAAATTTGTTTCGTTTAAATTTCCTACATGCTAACTTCGTTTGTGTGATTGAAATAAAATTGCAGTATATATATGTTGCTTGTTTGTGACACTTAAGACAATCTTCTGAAATAATTTGTTCTAAAATAAGTTATATTGGATGTGGAAAACACTGTTTAAAGTCCAAGACTTCATTACCTAAAGTTTACATATCACATCACTACTATTTCAAGGTTTCATAAAAGTCATGAATACTGAGTAATGTATACAAGAGAAATACGTGATAATGTATATATATTTGTTCAAAATAATTGAAATAACTGTTCCCTATTTGCTCTTATTTTCTCTTGGCCCACCTTGACACAGTGTCTTACTCTTATAGTCAAGATGATGATAAATGTTTCATTTACTCCATTTTGGTTTACAACATGGTCAGATACTTAAAACTCATTTATGCAGCTAACATTTTTCTTTATATAGTTTACTGGGTAAAGGACATTGTATGGTAAAGGGCATTATCAAGTAATGAATTTTAAATATCACAAAATCTGTATCTGTAGTGTTTATACATTTTGCTGGTTTCTTAACATAAGCAGCAGTACTTTTTATCTATTATAAAGTATTGAGTTCCATTTTATAATTCTGATGTCTTCATTAGAAGTACATAAATACAATTCTTGTTTGTTTTTTTTTTTTCTTTTGCCAGACCCAAATTTTCTTCTATTATGCCCTGCATTTCTCGTGGACTGTGTGTTCCTGTCATTCATTAACATTTGAAGTCATTACAGAGTCCACAGTTTACAAAATGGCAACTAATTTTCCATTCTATTCTGTATCAGGTTCAGTCAGAATTTTCGTCTACAAACTAAAAATTACTTCCTATTCAAAAATTAAGTAATGTGCTAACCTTTTAAATTTACCTAGCTACAACTTTTATGTCTCTTAATTTATATGTACTTTCAGTGCCATGAAGCACGATTGACAAAGGTATGCTACAAGATCTCTTTAATTTCTCTGTAGCCATTGTAACTTTATGATTCCATTACCCTTTAAATTCTCCCAATTACGAGCATAAAAGTAGCATCATACAAAGCAAACTATGTGAAGGAACTCTCTGTGAGCTCTTACTTCCTTTATGTTGCTATTCTAAAATTCACTTTCCTGAAGACATTTACTCTAACATTCACTTTCAAACTCCAAACTTGTTTTCTGGTAGTGCTATTTTTGTTTTTAATAGAAAGATGAATTATTATCTGTACATCTCCCCAAAGTGCTTAAGGAGTGAGAAAAGGATCCTAGGAGGAGTATATTGAAGTTACTGATGTTTAATACCTCTCTGTGAAAGCCATTTAATATTTATAAGTTAGATGCTTTTGATGTCAAAAGTTGATATACAGGTGTTTATAAAAGAATCTCCATGACTCTGGGTGAACAAAATAGTTCCAGGTATCTTTGGTTACATCAGGACATAGGTAGAGAACATTGACTTAGAATAGTTTTCTTTTGAATATGTGCAGGTTTGACTAAGCAGCTAAAGTTAGTAACCTCTTGAGAAAGGCCACTGATTTGAGCCAAGTACTGTTCGAGGTATGTGATGCAGGTGTCTCTCTTCCCAAGATCAAAAGCTATGAATTATTAGGTTTGGGATCCCCTTTATGTTACCTCTAGATAATTTTTGAGACATCAAAAGATTTTTTAAAAGTATCTGTTAATACTGGAAAAACGAAACCTTCAAATTTAAAAAACTCTAAAGTTGATCAGAAAAAAATAGCAATGCAGTAAATTTAGGATGGTTACAGATATTCACAGTTAACATAAATGGAGTTCTAGGGTAAATTCTTTATGGAATACAAATGGAAAAGTCGAGTCTTTTGGTGAGGAGATACATTTGAAAACTACTAAAGTATGAAATATGGCAGTTTATCTCTATCTTTCATTAGTTTTCCTTGTAAAGTAACAGGATCATAAATAAATAACTTGGTCATAATGACTTGGGATAAGAATTGCCACTGCATTTATTGGATATTTCTGTTGACATCTGAAAGAATCTATATGTGAAGATAGAGAAAGAGACAAAAGTGACTTTTCAGTTATTATAGATGTTCTTTGTTGTACATAACCTCTCTAAACTGAAATGTTCCTATCTTCGGCACAAAGTAGGCCTCAAGGACTCGCTGATTAATGTACAGAATAAATGAAGGGTGAAACAAGTTAAGCATTTGAACCAGAGGATCACAGTCACTGAGCTGTACCTCAGATTCTAGGAAGCATATTAAGTACTCATATAAACTGAGCATAAAGCAGAGCTTCTAGAAGCTTGTGGTGCAGGAACACAGACTAAGGCAGAAGGAGAAAATAAGGGGCCCAGGTTGGTGACAGAGTAAAGGGAATGCACCATCTGAGTAGTGCTCTTTTTTAACCTCACTTTTTTTTTTTTTTTGAGTTGGAGTCTCTCTCTGTCGCCCAGACTGGAGTGCAGTAGCCGTTCCCGGCCACCGCAGCCTCGACCTGCCGGGCTCTGGCGA